TTAGGGAAAAATCCCTACTACATAACATTCATGCTATCTACTGTTTTGATCAATTCCCCCCCCCCCCCCCCCCCCCGCCTTACCTCGAATTCCAGCACAGAAGTTGAATTCTTGCTCCAACCGGAAATCCTTAGCTTCCTCTTCTTCTGATTGCTCAAGTTCTCCTCTCCTCTCTTGCTCGTATTCTCCTTCCCTCTCTTTCACGCGTTCCCCTTCTATTTCTTTTCTTCCAACTCTAAAATACCCTTATTTACTTATTCCACTTCTACCCTTACTCAATTAATCTTATAATTCTCTTAATTCCAATTATATTAACAATAATATTAATGCATTAACACTAATAATAATAATAATAATAATAATAATAATAATAATAATAACAATATTACTATTATCACTATTATTTATTAATTATCATTTTCCGTTAATGATAATATTATTATTATTCTTATGGTCCGATATATCTTATAAATTCCAACTTAAGGCCTAAACCTCATCATACTCGAACGCAACCCCACAAACAAGCCGAAACGCAACAACACAAAAATACAGGAAAAACTAGATAATTAAAAATGGGCATTACAACCCCTGCCGTCAAGTCAACGACGCCCTCCGGCTGATGAACTTTGGCCCACTTAGCAGCCCCTTGAGACGAGGGGGACTGGCTGCCCTGGGGCGACGAAGAGGAACCCTTGCCTCCCTAATCAGAAGCAGCTTACCCGGCCACCTGGGCAACCCGCGTTTTACCGACTTTGACCGCGACCCTGGTGGCAGCCAACCTCTTCACCCTCTCCTCGGCGTTAGACATGTTCCCTGCAAAACAAAAGAAAGATGTCAGCAAAAGAATAAATAATTGAGAGAGCAAAGGGAGAGGGAGACGACCACCACCTAGGTAACTAAGGGCCTCCTCCTCCATCGAACACTCGAGCAGAGCCTTCGTGCTAATCAGCCTCTGCTTCTGGCAAACACGCCCCTCACTGTCGCGGATGTATCTACCGTCGGGCGTCACGAGGTACGCCGGAGGTAGGCTGGCCACGAACCTAACTATCTTCTGATAGCTGGCCAGGTCATCTTCGCCTAAGGTCCCTGCCCGCATGATATATCGATCAGTGCCCCTCGAGAAGTGCTCCTCAGTCTACTCCAAGGGCACCTTCGAGATCAAGACTTTCTCCCGTTGCCCGTTCACTACTCGCTCCCCTCGCCTATACAACGAGGAGCACGCCACATGAAATATCGGCTTAACAACGAAGAATCGGGCCTTGAAGTCCCAAACATAATCCATGTATGTCCGAAAAAGCTTCTTCGGTTGTTTCAGCAAAACCCATCTGTGCCGACCATCCACCATCTGCCGTTGCAGATGAAAAAGTCGGAAGAACAACGACAACGTCGCCCCGATCTCCAGATACCGACAAACAATCTCGAACGCGCGAACAAAGGCTATGGCGTTAGGGTGCAGATGCGAGGGGGCTAACCGTACCCAGTCTAAGACCGCCAGTTGGAAATACGTGAACGGAAACTAGAGCCCGGCTTCCCGAAAACAAAATTCGTACATAGGGAAACACATACTCCCAAACGACGAGCAGATACGGTGATGCTCGCGAGGACGATACGCCTGCCAGTTTTAGGGGTCACTCTCACACCTATCCTCGACGGTGGTGAAGGCGTCATTCTCATCATCCACGAAGTACGAGGGTGTAGTCATGGGCTCCTCGGCCACCCACTCCTCGACTGGCCGGACTGCATTCTCGACGGTGGGCACCTCTAGCTCGTCATCCACATCCATAGTCCCTGAGACCCACGATGTTATTAACACCTGAAAAGCATAAGGAAACGGTGAATTTGATGTCCAAGATCAAATTCACCCTTCCACCGCAGGCCAAGTGAAAGGACAACGGGGACAACATCGATGACGGGAATAAAAGCCATCTGAACAAGCATCCCCGGGGAATACTTCTGAGCCTATCAACCTCCACGGGGCACTCATAGAATACTACTATCCGTCCCCGGAATGTTCATCTGAAACTGGTACCTGTCCCCGGGGCCTTCAAACCTTACCCTCTCACGACCTCGGCGCGTTCATCCTACACCTAGAAAACGCCGCCTATTGAGGCGGATATTCGCATCCCTCCTCGGACAGAACGGTGGAGATTCACCTCCGTCCTCGGGGCACTCAACACGCTCTGGTGCTAGCTCAAAGATACAAAACGGTAAAAGGCAAGGAGAAGGAACTTACTGGTTTGTAGGTAACGACAAAGTGCGCAGCGGTTGGTGCGGCGGAGATGTCGAGCAGGCACGAACGGCTCAGTCGTCACGTGAGAAAGGAAGCAGGAGCGAAAAATATGGAATGGACAGGGGCTCACGTACTTATACCCCCAGCACGGGACTCGAAGCGTCCCTAGGCACTTGAATGCCCTAGGGTAGCCGCCCCACATGGCCTGTCCAACGCTTGACACGTGGCGAATGCTGACAGTCGCCCCCCTGTCTTACGCCTCCCCGTCAAAGACGTCAGGGGGGCGCGTCCTCGACATGGACGTCCAACAGCCCGAACACATCCATGCCCACAACACGCACACATTAGGTAGGAATATTCCCTCGACACCTGTGCCCGGAAAAAACTTCCCCGACAGACTCTCCCGCGCTAAGCACGACATCATCAAGTCCTCGCTCCCTCACCTCGGAGCTACGACTTGGGGGGCTCCTGTTCTGGCCTTGGCCCCGCTTGACCGGGAAGGCCCAACCCACTTATACTTAGTGAAAGGCCCAAATGAGTCTTCCCCACCTATGTCGGGCACGAAGCTCCCGTCGGCCAGGCGTTATCCTGTCGAACAGAACATCTCCCTGTCAAGCAGGAAGGCGTGCCCCGTGCACGTTCTCCACGTGCTCCCCTCCGCGGAGACACGTCATCAACCAACTACCCACCTCCGAAAGAGCAGGTCAACCCACTCTCCAGAGTTCACGGAGCAGTTGAACTAGGGTGAAGACCACGTTCTGGTCTTCACTACGCCAAGTAAGCCCTAACAATCACTTGGGTTGGGCCAGGCCATCCAACCCAACTCAAATGACCGTTGGCCCTGTACTGGGGTCTCTCTATAAATACCCTCTTTCACAAGAGGGTCAGGTATTCAATTCTCAACCTATTTTCTGTATTTGCTCTCACTCTGTCTAATTCCTTACTTTGGCATCAGAGTTTCTTGCAGGTACACCCCCTCCTCCTTACCACCGGTGAACAGGTAGTAGATCAAAGACGTGTGGCGGTCCATTGATTCCCATCTGATCAGGTCAGATCAATTACATATATCATTGTACTTTTATTTTACACAGATGAAATAATTTAATATTTTTAGTGGGGGCAATAGTGAATTTTTAGTAGAAATAAATATAAAAAATATTTTAATTCAATAAAATATAACAAGTTGGTAGTATGTGTTAGTGGGGGCAAGTGTCCCCAATTTGATACAAGTGGATCCGTGCCTGTGTGACTTGATGAAGGTGTAGATAGAACTGAAGCGAAATTGAAGTTTTGTTGATGTAATTGTTATAAAGTACGAACACCCCAAACACGATCCCAACACCGACACGTCGATACCAGTAATAATTTGAAACAGAAAAGAATAAACTAAACGTAATCATATGTGTCGGTGTAAGTGTCCGACCCCGACACAGACACATACACACTGTTTTTCAGAAGTGTCTGTGCTACATAATGTAATTGTATCGAAATGTTGAGGTTTATGACTTGGGAAGTTCCATAGGTTCATTTACATGATAAACAAAAATTAAGTAAATAGCGCGCTAATTGATGAAGTGTTTGTATTTTACTGTTTAAATTGATTAAGTAACCATAAGATTTAAGGGTTTTTGCGAGATTCGAAAATATATTTTTGAACTAAATTTAATCATAAAATTATGGTGTGACTAAAAACAAATAACTTTTATATATATATATATATATATATATATATATATATATATATATATATATATATATATATATATATATATATATATATATATATATATATATATATATATATATATATATATATATATATATATATATATATATATATATGAGGTACGTCTGAAGATGTATCTCTGAATTTTAAAGGTATTTTTAACTTTTCATAAAGTGCCATAATAAATTATTGGATACATTAAGAAATCCTACTATTGTTTTTTTTCCATAAAGTGCCATAATAAATTATTGGATACATTTAGAAATCCTACTATTGTTTTTTTTCGTTGTTGGAGGCTTGTTTGATTGAGGGTTTTTGGCCCATCAATGTGGTATGGCCCTACGTGACAATTTTATAGTTGTCTATGTACTAAAAAAGTTTATAGTATCTTTATACTATCGTATCATTTGGTTATGTGTTAAGACATGAGTACTAGAATTAGAATTGCACTTTACTATAAAAACGCATTTAAAATTACCTCTCACATCTTTATGCCAATATCTCAAGCTTAAAAAATGGCACAACATATTTACTGCCCGGCTTTAATTACCTAACCACCTTATTTATGTATTTATTGTAGGAGTCTGTGTGGGTGTGAAATATTATATACATGGTGGGACTGAAATTGAGCACCAAATTATGTACAATTTAAAATAGAAATCAAAATCAAACCATCAAAATATTAGAAAGAATAAAAAATCCAATTATAATATCTTTTGCTTTGCTTGAAAACAATACTTTTTATTATTAATTTGGGGTCGATATATAATTCAAACCATACAATTAAATAAACTAGCGGGTGGTAAATTGTAAACAAATATCCACCTCTGCCGTCTACTTGAGAGCACAACATATAATGCCTCATACCACAACTCAAATGACAGGACCATCTTAAAATCAGCCCTTTTCATTTGCCTCTATAACTCACTCTTATATATCAACATATTATTTGATATACTTTTTCTAAATTATATAGTAATTCCTTAATATTCTAACTATGTGTCCTTCAATGCAAGCGAACTAGAACTAATGCATCAAATTCTGTCAGAACTGAATGCCACTGAACGTCTGGCCAAAAGACCATCTTTCTGGCACAACATCATTAGCGACCACGGTGCGACCGTCGCTAGAAGTGACTTTAAAGGAGAGACACTGCCCATCAAGGTTAGAGTTACTTTGCCAATTTTGACCCCAATTTCTTGACATTGGTTGCCAATTAGTTTTTGAACCCTTGATGGAAACTGCAGTAACATCACCAGCACCTCCAACGTTGGTAATTAGAACTAGGTTGAAGTATGAATGACCATTGATTGTGAATCTTATGCCTCCTTTCTTTTGGCAAGGAACCCTATACATTATCAACAATTAAAACAGAAAGCAAAAAGAAAGAATCAAATAAAGTTGCAAAAGTAAGACAAATGAATGCCGTCACCTTAACCTTCAAATATATTCCTAGAATAGGAACATGTTAAAAATATGTCTTTGTCTTCTTGTCAAAAATAAAAACATATCTAGTCTTTTAATCTAAATATATTCATGTTTTTATATTTAAAAAAAAGAATTTAAAAATCCTTTAGCGGTCTGAGAAAAGCAATTTAATTTTAATTTTTTCTATTTATTTAAAAAACTATTGATAAATTTTGAAACTCTGACTGATTTTTTTAGCTTAATCAGAAGGTATGGGTTAAATTCGAATTCTGAATATTAAATTTTTTAAAATAGAGTTTATGTTCTTCCGTTTAAAAAGTTTAAAAAGTTAGTTTGTGTAATTACCCTGCAAAAATATCTTGTTTATATAAAAAAAAAATTAAAATTTGAATGAATAACAAAAAAAAAAAGCATTAAAAAACTTATAATTTGAAATTAAAAAAATGAAGCACCTTCTGTAAGCAACAGGAACAATTCCAGCTTTGTATTGAGCAATTTGTTGGAAAACAGGTTGAGAGAGATCAAAATGGTGAAGTGGAGGGTTACACCATCCACCTGCATTATTTGGGAGTGCATTATTTGGGGGACAAAAATTTGTTGCAGTGACAACAATTGAATTTGGAAGACACCATCTTTTATCGTTAACACACTTTATCTCAAAACATGCTCCACAGCTTAATCCACCGTTGAACAAAACAGTGCTCAAAGCAGCAGTGTTTGTTCCATAGCCTTGGCTATACAAGTTCCCATATCCACATGCTCCACCTAAAATTAACCATAATCACAAAATCATATAATATGTAATATAATAAGTATAAGTAAGATGATGCAGGGTCGAAACCGCGCTCGGTATGATGTTTTCTCTACATAACTATTAAGTTAGCTGATTTATTGAGAAGGGTTAGTTACTAACCCATTGTGCCAGAGGCATCACCTCCTCCATAGAAGGTAGCATGAGCATCAATCCAACCATCATTGGAAGCATAGACACATGATGCTAGAGAGAGAAATCCAACAAAGAGGAGTTTCAAAAGAGCCATTGAGAAAAAGTGTATGTAAATGGAATGAATGGCTCAATTGAGAGGTAGAGAAAAGTGTGAATTGTGAGGAAAAGAAGAAGAGAATGTGATGGGATTAAATAGTGGAAGGATGGAACGGAGCAAAGAGTATTTTTTGTTTAATTACATATTTATGTGGGGACCAGATACCGCCGAGTATATAATTTCGTAAACCATGTGCTTTTTTCATTATGTTATATTTTTCTCTTGTTCATTTTGCTAAAGGATTGACACGTGTGATCACAAAGTTAGAATTGAACTTGTTAACGAAACAACAACTTTAAAATGAAAAAAGAAAATAATAAATGCAAATAATAGACAACACAGAAAACTATTTAGTTAATACCTAGAAAATATTTAATTAATAATAATCTCAAAATCAGATTACTCGATTCAGTGATGGTGAAATTTTTTTTTTAATTGATAACATGAAAGTTAATGTTATTATTGAGTTTTAAACTCTATTATTTATTGATGTTCTTATTGAGTTTTAAACTCTATTATTTATTGATGTTCGTGAGTTTTTAATAAGGATTATAATTCTATCTACAAATTAAAAATATTCTAGAACTATTCATTGGAAAATTTTTAATTATTATTTTTCTACACATGTTAAAAAAGTTATTAAAGTTATAATTGTTTAAAAAATCATTTCTTTTATTTATAATATCTATCATTAGTTATTAATATATTTAAATAGAAAATGTCTATGATTTTTAAAAGCTTGTCTAAACAAAAATATCTCTATATTAAATTATCGTAAAACTTTTAGAGTTAGTTTGAAAGTTTTGAGTGAAGGAGAAATGAGGTTTTGAAAAATAAATAAAAAAGGGTGATAGTATACAATTTGTTTATACTATTAATCAATTATATTATATATTCTGCTAAATTATATTGAAACTTTTAAACTAACTATATGTTATGATACAATGACATATTTTTATTTAAAAAGACAGGATAAAATATTTTTTCATTATAAGTGTAATAACAATTAAATCCTTGAAAAAAAATAATAATTATAGAGAAAATTTTTTAAAATATTTGTTTAAAATGATAAAAGAGTGGTTATAATTAATATATTTTAAAATTTTAAAATATTATAAAAAAATTGTTTGAAAAATTTGTCTAAACACTACACAATCCTCTAAATCCCTCTTTCAATATAATTTTTTAGTTTCCCTAAATTAGAGAAATTTTGTGTAATGACTAAAACCAAAATTCTTCTATTATTTTTATTCTTTTTTTATCCCTTTTTTCCAAAACTCTTTCCTCCCTTTCCTTCCAACTTCCAAACAAAACTATTAGAATCGCACCTCTTTGAAAAAACATTCACAAATAATTTAAACTACTTACTCATTTGACTTGAGTAATAATTATTGAAATATAGAATATTACTTTTATATATATATATATATATATATATATATATATATATATATATATATATATATATATATATATATATATATATATATATATATATATATATATATATATATATATATATATATATATATATTGTCTCTTTAGTTTTAAAAAAATCAAATTTTATTTATTTCATTTTAAAAATAAATTTTTCGATCGTGAATTTTATCAACAATACAAAAAATTATTCAAAATAAAAGAACGACTTTACACTTTAACTATGAAGACATTTTCACTAATGTTTTAACAAATGTCGATTAGTCTAATACTCCCTAAGGTGCAACACACATTTTCTCTCTTGGCATCACTTATTTGGTATTAAATGTTAAATCAATTTAAAGTGTTTTTAATTAAATTTTGAATGTTTTATGTATCAACTTAAAAAAATATTAAATGAACTTGAATTTCATTTAAGAAAACTAGTTCACAAAAATGAGGGGCTAAAAAACTAGCTCAAAATTTGAGGTTTGCACCCTACTCCCCCAATAAATTTCCTTCATAAGAGATTCTTATTCATATATTCCACAAAAATGCTCAAGTAAAAATCAATCTTGATACTAAAAGGATTAATAAGAAAAGTAATATTTTCCGTGATATGCCTTACACCAATTATACATACATATATTATTTGAAAATTAATTTAAATGGAATAGATCGAAGTTAAAATTGTGAACTGATCATTTTTTTTAATAATATTTTAAACACTCTCAAATCGTTTTAGAGTTTGTACGCAAGAATATTCAGGATAATTTAGTCTATACTCGAATTTACATAAGATCGATGAAAACTTAAATGTAGGTAAGGTGACATCTGAAATTTTTTGTGATGCAGATAGAGTTTTCTGGATGATTTTTCTGAATCTGAAATGCTCAATTTATAGGTCAAACTGATGTTATTTCATAAGGTTGCGACCCTTGATGAAACACACATTTTCGACAACATTTTTGATAAATGTTGCATTGTTTCGCTTACAACAACATTTTTCAAACGCTGCATTGTTTCGCCTACATTAACACTTTTACCAAATATTGCACTGTTTCACCTATAGCAGCACTTTTACCAAATGTTGCATTATTTTGCCTACAACAACAACTTTCAAAAGTGGTACTATTTCACATTATTCAACACTTCAAGAAGTGTTGTTTATATCTGAATTCAAAATATAGTATTGCCTACTGCAACACTTGTGAAGTGTTACCTATTTCTGAATTAAAAAATTAACCTTTACTTGTATATTTTTTTGTCAGTTTAGAACACACTCAAGATTATTAATAGTTAATAATTTACAGCATATATCAAAGTTTCTATTAAATTGGTAAAGCAAACTGTTTTCTCACAAAATTAAATCACTTAAATTGTTGAGATTGTGTTTTTATCATATAATATTTGTTATTACAATCTAATAATTTAATTGTGAAAATACCTAATGTAAAATCTCGAGTTAAAATGGAATTACTATATTCTTCTTTGTATGCGTTTAGTTTATTTTATGTTTTTTCAATAAACAACCACTACTATATTTCATCCTCTTATTGATGAAAGTCTTGATATCCCGTCTACACCTTCTTACACAACACAAGTTTCTACCTCATATGATGAAGTTGATGGAGATTCCATGCATGCTATTCGAATCGATCATGAAGAAGGCATATGGGAAAATTAACAAGTACGTAATTTATTCTTTATTCATAATATATTAATTGTATGTGAAGGAAAGGAAAACACTGAGAAGGGGGGTTGAATAAGGGTTTTCAAAACAAATAAGGCAATAAAATAACAGGTATTTTTATACTGGTTCGTTTGAACTCAAACTACTCCAGTCCACCCGGCCAAGGTGATTTCGCCTCTTTCAAAAGAAGACTTAATCCAATAATCAAAAATTGATTACAATCTTTTCACTAAGACAAACTTGTCTTAGTCTTCTCGAGAATACTGACCACAACTTGGTCTCTCAAGGATCTTTTACAAAGTAATACAATAAAGTGTGTTTAAGTGCTACTTAGAAAAGCTTTTTCACAACAGTGATTTTACAAAAAATGAAGATCAATGAATTTTCAACAAAGTAGTATGTTTGTTGTAGAATGATGTTGCGTATTTATGAATTGCTGTTGAAGACTTGTTTAAATACTTCACACCCTTTTCTCAAATAGCGTGCACATACACAAAAAAGGAATGTTCAGAGATATCCTTTTTGTTCTGAAATCCTATCCCATACACAAAAGAGGAATATTGCCGTTAGATGTAGACAATGAGTTTGGCAACGGATCTTTCTTGATCACCAACTTTTTAAATGACTGAATGTGGAAATATTTCATGCATCAGATCCTCTGATGATGTTCCATTTTATTCTTATCAGAGTAACTCTCTTCCAGAGTTCTGATGATGTTCCATTTTATTCTTATCAGAGTAACTCTCTTCCAGAGTTCTGATGATGTTCCATTTTCTTCTTATCAGAGTAGCTCTCTTCTAGAGTTCTGTAGCTTAGTGCTAGCGTGATTGTTTTAACAAACTGTTCATCTAGATGAGCGCTTTAGATCAGAGCAGATCTTCTCTCTTACGTGTTATCCAAATGTATCACTTTGTTACTAACGTTTTAGAGCCTTACGTGTTTTGATTCTCATAGCCTCTGCAGTTGCAGCGTTGAGTTTAGTATGCTCAGAGTTTTCTGAATCTTCGCTTTATACTCTACGTTCAGAGCCTTCTATAGCTTCGCTTTTTACCACACGCTCAGAGCCTTCTGTAGCTTCGCTTTTTACCAAACGCTCAGAGTCTTCTGCGTGTTGTAGCTTAACGTTCAGAGGAATATTCTGTTCAGAGGAATATTTATTATGTTATCTGAAACTAAAACACTTGAACAAAATTAGAGTATATATTTTCTCCATACAAAATTTCATTATTGTTATCATCAAAACATTGAAATATATTAAGAACCAATATGTGTTCTAACAATCTCCCCCTTTTTGATGATGACAAAAACTATACGAAATTTTATTCAAAATTAAAATATATATCTCCCCCTGAGAATATGATTCTCCCCCTGAAATGAATAATGCTAGAAAATTTAAAACTTCCCTTTTAGCACTTGTATTCTTTCCAGAGTCAGAGCAAGCTTGTGGACTATCTCAGATCTTGTTCAGAGTTAATTCTATAAATATTGTCAAATGAGTAACTTTAACTCTGAAACACTGAAACCATGATTAGTCAGTTTTTAACATGTGTGAGTTTCCATTCAGTATCTGTTTATGTGAACGATTCAAAATTTCTATTTTCTCCCCCTTTTTGTCATATCAAAAAGTGATTTTAGAAAATCATTTAAGACAAAAAAAATTCAGAGCAGAAAAGAAATAAAAAATATATAAGATAGAATCAGATGTAAAAAAAAATCACAGATGTATTTAAAGACTCAGAAACAAAATGAAACAGGCAAGTTCACAGATGAGCACAAACTAACAAACAATTAAGATAAACGAGAAGTTAAAAGCTTAAGAAGCTCCGTCATCTCAGAAGTTGAAGCTTCTTGTTTGGCCATCCATGTCTTGATTTCAGTAGTGGATTCT